GTTTACCACCTATTGATCCGCCCTCGACATGTGCAGGGCATAACCATATTTGATGGCTGATGTCTACTCTTTTGATATTGGTTTAATACAAACCTGATATTAGTAAAAAACTAGAACAGTAGTAACTAAAACAAGTTCAGAAAGACAAATATGCATAATTCAAAATCTGCACATGTAGAAATCTTATAGCAAAGCTGTCATACAATATTCTTTCTGGTATCGTTTGCAAACTTGTTGCTCTCTTTCGTTCGATTGAAGGCGTAAGCTCATTGACTTTGCACGTCAAGTGGGCGTTAAGTACTCGTTTATGCTATTGTTGATGTCGTATATTTTCAGAACTTGTTTCTTATTGACGGCTAAGAAATAGAAATTCATTACAGCGACCTCACAGGGACTGCTGCGACTGCTAAAACTATATACTAGGCTAGACTTAATTTAAAGGATTCGAAGTTTTGGCGCTTTCCTGTCGTATGGCGTTGATCAGCTCATAGTTAACCAGAAATGTGAAGCGCAGTCCCGAAATTTCCACAGTACAGTTGTGTGCCAATCGCGTCTTGTTACCATTCAGCAAAGGTGTGCCATCGATGAAGATGGCGCGCTTGCCCTCGTTGGCTATGAAGAAGTCGCCGTTGCTGCGCATTTTGATGGTGCCTTGGCGCCGCGAAATCTTTGCAGCGGGTCCCTCCAGGGAAAGATCCACATCTACGCCACATTCCTTGGCCTCGCGACCGAATGTTATCTCCTTAGAGCGCATCAAATAACGCACAAGACGTCCGCACAAACAGGCAAGCGTTTGGTTATCGAACTCACTGGCTGCCGTGGGTCCGAGCACTGAGTCAACCAGCACGCCCCAGCGCGAGAGCTCGTTCTCTAGCAGACGGATGTCGCGTTTGTTGCGCCGATCGGCCAGAGTTAGTTCAATTTCCAATGCCTCATCACGCGGCTCCTGCAGGTCTTGATCGAACAACTGATCCTCAGCATCTGAAAAGCTGAGCGGTTGATCGGTGCCCTGCACTGGCTTTATCGATTGATCCGGAAGCAGGCAATATTGCTTGAGCAGCAGCCAGTGATTGTGCAGGGATTTAGCAGTGCGTGCGCAATAGAATGTGGAGGGATTCTTGTCCAGCAGCTCCTGAAACTGCTCCAGCTTCGGGGTCTCCGACTAATTGAGAAATAATATTGGATTAGTTTCATCAAGTGCAAAATGAGAGCTAACTACTTACGCTCTTTATAGTGCCTAGAAGGTCCTCCTCCTGCACGCTGTACAGCGCCTTCCGCTGTACAGACTCCACCATCTCGGGATGCAGATTACGCATGGCAGACACGGCAATCCGTGATACGGATGGCTCATACAGCAGGGCGTACCAGCGCTGCTGCAGCTCTTGCAGAGTAAATTTACAGGAGAATTTGACGCCCCGATGTATCATGCGAAGGTCGTTGGTTTGCTGTATACCAATTACAAGGGCTAGGTCATCGATTGGCTTCCAGCGTCCCAAATCCTTGATGGCCAATTGTGCAAGAGGGCGAGCATTGCGACGGGGCTTTTTGTTGCTCGCTGGACGAGATGGACGTGGACGACGTTCAGGAGCTACTGCACGATCCATCGCAGGCTTCGCCTTTGACTGCGGTTGCTGCACAGGATTATGAACTGTTGGCAACGGCAAGGTGGACGCGGCTGGCGTTGAAAGTGTCGCAGGCGTTGAAGAAGTCACTATGCTCGGGGCACCGGGTACAGTGTCCACTGTAGCGCCAGGTGTGTGAGTCGCTTCAGATGCAGCGGCAGCAGCAACTGTAATTGGGCCGGGTGATTGCTGCAACGTTGGTGTCGTAACAATTCCAGAATAATTCTGAGATGTTGTCCGTGGTCGACTTGAGCGATTCGCATCGGCAGCGCTACGGTTCGTTGGTATTGTAAGATTGTATTCTACAATTTCGTCGTCAAAACGTTTACGTTTTATAGTGCGTGAGGAGCTAACAAGCAATTGAAGTTAGTGACAGTTTACAGTTAGCTTAAAATGTCAAACTCACCTTCGACGCTTTGCTGCGTCGTTTTGTAGCAACTCTATCGGCAAATTGTGAATTGGAGTTTTACTCAAATGCGTTGCTGTTGTTGTTGTCGATACTGTTGTTGTTGGCGCTGGGGCTGCGCAAGTGTTGACAGATGTCGATGACACACTGACAGTGGCAGGGACGTCAATTGCATGGGAAGCAACCGCAGGCGCCATTGTTGTATATACACTAGTAGACGTTACAGTGTTGGATATTGTTATGGGTAATTGCGTGTTTTCCATAGCTATTTTGAGCAATATTTTTTGTTTTTCGTTTGCGACGCACAATGCACAAGTAATGCTGTGACAAATCGATATATACCAACTATTCGATAAGTCACAGCCATCGTATCACGATATTCTGCATAGTGGCAGCACCACATAACATTATAAAATTGTTTTTAACATAGGTACTCCTCAGTTAATGAAACTAATATATTATTGATATTAGGTAAAAAATCGTGTGCATATAGAGGAAGTATATCAGACAACCGTATGATAAAATATTTATTTATTTAATAATTTGAAATTTAATTTAATAAACGAGTTCAATTTGATAACATCGCATCTCTGTTAATTGCTGCAATACTATCGATATGTGTCGACACGATAATAAAAAGTGTGCCCGATTATTCAATGTTTGTGCTGCAGCCCTAAGTTTGCTAACAAAGTAGTGATGTGAAACTTGATAATAAGATAATAATGTGATGTCTATTCTTAACAATGCGCTGCATTATTAAGTGCTTTAAAGCATTTCAGTATTGCTAACAATTCGCAAAAGCTTTACCAAGCGCTACAATACAATGAGGTAAGCGCGCACTGCAATTACAATGACGAATGTGATGACTAATCGATTGTGCTTGTAGTTGTCACTACGCGGAGTCGGAATCATCACAATCCGAGAGCAAAATGGACATCTCGGATACGCCTACGGACTCCACGGGAGTGTCGCCGTTGGCCGATGAGCGTGCCAATGCTACGATGCCAAACAAATCGAATATCGAAGTCGAGCGGGAGAATAACGAAAACAAAAATACTTCAATTTTAGACAACCGAATAATACGGCCAGAGTTGCTGCTGCCAGTCGAAACGATGCCACAACGACAAATAACAGAACGCACGCTGACACTGGCGAACAGTCACCCGCTTATGTCGCCTACTAACACTGACTCTGACTCGGAGCCTTTTCAAGGCAAGTGCAAAAATTTTCCCGATGTAGTGCCTCGCACCGAGCAGACCACAACGGAAGCTGTACGAAATACGTTGAATCAACAAAACAATATGCGGGTCAAGCCTCAAGACGCGAAAGTCAGTCTGCTCCGGGCAAATAGCCCAGACCTGCTGAGCAGTGAGTCAGATGTGGATGTGTCGCAGTATTTGGCAGCTGTTGAGTCAAATTTTCAATCGGTTTCGTTGCTGCCCAATGCGAATAACAAAGCGTCGCGAAGAGCAAAGCGCTCGGCTGCAGCTGGCGGTGAGGATATTTCCAGCTTGGACTCCATATCAAATCACAGTTTTGACGATGACGAAGACATAGAGCACAATTTGGCCTCCCTGAGTCCATCCAGTTCGCTGATCGATGGCCTGGATGGTGAGGACGACGATGATGACGACTGCGAAGGCCCCGAGCTGCTGCCCGACAACGATGACGACCTGGATGAGTTTGGCATGGCAACCACGCCCACGCCACATGCCCCCGCCGGAGTAGCAGCCTCAGCCGATACGGGTGCAACTGCTTCAGAGTTGCCGCAATATACGGCTGATGAGGAGCGACGCGACTCGCGCAATTGGCAGAAGATCACGCTGCCTGATGGACGCACTCGAGAGATCGACATGCGCGTCATTGAACCTTACAAGCGTGTGCTATCCCATGGTGGTTACTTGAAGGCTGGCGGGCAGAATGCTATCGTTATATTCTGCGCCTGCCATTTGCCGGACAGATCCCGTGCCGACTATAGCTATGTCATGGACAATCTTTTTTTGTATGTAGTGAAGACGCTGGAACAGCTAGTCACGGATGATTATGTGCTCATTTATCTGCACGGCGGATCCAATAGACGCAATGTGCCGCCGTTTCCATGGCTCAAACGGTGAGTTCTCAAAATAGTTTTCATCTGAATAATATTTGATTACTACTTATTTTGTAGTTGCTATCAACTGCTCGATCGCCGCCTGCGCAAGAGTCTGAAGCACATGTATTTGGTGCATCCCACTTTTTGGATAAAATCTTTGGTATGGATGGCTCGTCCATTTGTCAGGTATGTGAACCTGTTAGCTGGATTATCACTTACTATAAATTGTTGATTTTTTCGCAACAGCACAAAGTTTTGGCGTAAGCTCATTTATGTTAAGTCTCTGGAGGAACTGGGTCTGCACGTGGCTGTGGAAAAGGCAGCCATCCCCGAGAAGGTTAAGCAATACGATGCCAAGCGACATTGAGCTGCACACGCGAACCACTCAAATAATTGAATAACTGCTAGCTCAGACTTGATTCACTCGCAACGCAACATTTACACCCGCTCGCATTTGTGTTTTCGCATTCCTTGTTAGACCTATTTGCTATAATATTTGCTCTCAGTCTCGTATTTATTTAATCTCTTGCTATGCTTTAATTTAAGATCTCAATCTATGTGATACTTTTGATTTTGCTTTCTCAACCCATGTACTCTAACTCGCTATGTGCTATGTAATTTAATACGCGGCGTTCAACAAACATCGAACAAGTTTTTGATTGCTTTTACCAGCAGCAGTAAACTCACATAAGTAGGAAATAGGACTAAACTCCACAACAATATATACATACACACATACACTTACACAAGCGCAATCACTAATGCATACTTATTAATAATCATGTAGCTTCCGCTTTAGTTCCATATATTTATACATATAAACATAATCAATCGTACAATCTACAATACATATACATACATACCTAAGGCCTGGTTTATTAAACAATGTTAACATGCGAATAAGCAACTAAAAACCACCAGACTTCCGTACATGTTACCTTGTTTACCGTAGCAAAATACTATTATGAATTATTACGAATGTAATGAGCCCAAACTCAACGGAATTTAATATTAAGCGAGTTTCTAATTGAAATTGTTTAGCTGAATTTTGTGTGTGAAGCTTTTGCATCGATGGCATTGTACACCGAAATCATTATCAACCAAAAGCACCAAGAACACCGATCCCGAATGCAGAAAGCAGATCCCATGCCAGTCACTACTCGCCCTCTAGCCCACACATTAGAAGATTAGACCGTAAGTGAACTAGTGACCATTGTATTAAAAGGAAAACAAAAGGAATATTTGATATTTAACAATCTACAATCTCACATACACGTACATGAGCATAAGAACGTAGTTGTGTAATTAGTTAAGCATGTAACCGATTGATATTAAGGAGCGATCTTTTGTTGGTTTCCTTATTGCTTAAACGATAATAAAAATGCAAATACAATTTTCCAATGGATTTATTATGCGAGTTTCTATTCAGTTTCTACGAATAGGTGCTCTGGTCGCAGGTCCACAGATCCTGATCCTCGTGAAACTGAATCAGCACCAACTCATATGTGACGATGGTGCCAGCCACCTGATGAAGAACATATCAATATCATCTCGAATCAAACTTCTTCCTGATCTGCGTCAGATACTAACACTCAGCACCAGTTTACGTGTCAAATTGAAGAACTTCATCCCACTCAGGGCCACCATGTCACTCGTAATCTCCTCGGCGAATCGCATGGCTTCCGGACACCAGGACTCCTTTGGCACGCAGCGCAAATACCGCAGCGGACGACGCGACTCGTCGTGCACGCTGGCCGCATATAAAGAGACAGCCAGGGTGCGTCCAATCAGAAAGAAGAGCGAGAAGTAAAAGTACACCGTATGAGCTACCGAGGGCATGGTGCTGCGGATTAATGTTAATGAGAGACATAGAGTAAAGAAGAACAGAAAGTACAAAATATCTCCAAAATATGCGGAGCTCTGATCCGAAGACTTTGAAGCATTGGGTTAACAAGTCATTAAATTATGTTTTAATCGTTATATTTATACAAGGTCAATAGATAATTTTTGTATCCGAAATTATTAAAGGTTGTGTTCTTGAGGTTGTGTTCTTGACTCTTTCTGAGTCTATATGAACGTAAGTCAACTCGCCCTCAGCGAGGAAACTTGAAAAAAGATATGTAAGTATATTCATAGGTGCCGCCGTTTGATATCCTGACAAGGCAGTGGATGTCAGTAGGAGCGTGGAAAATATATTTTCCGGTGTGTCACAAATCATATTAGTTGAAGTTGTAGAGAACTGCAACTTGGAATGTATACACCCCTGTATAGACTATAGAAGGCTGGGTTAAAGAGAATTGTATATAGTTTGACAGGAAGAAACTCAAAGTTAAATGGCTAAAGTAATATTGTCTTCCTCTATCGATTTGCCAAGAACTTTTTATACATATAGTATATACATATGTGTAGGTGTCGGCTTGGAGTTGCATATTTCATATTTTAAACTTTAAATATCTTCCCTGAGCATATCTTAGATGCACGTACGTACTTGAGACTCCGCAGTAGTTGGACACATATGAAGTACAGATTGTTGGAAAAGGATATTATAGTGATAAAGGATATGGCGTCATCCATGGTGCTGCATAGCGTGCATATATTCCGATATTGTATACGCCGCTCAGACCAGTAAGCCGCAGCCATATGCTGAGGGAATAGAACTAAATGTGAACTAAATAAGAAAAGGACATAAAGGAAACTTACGAGTCCCTTGAACTTAAGCAAATTATCATTGAGTTGGCGAAATTTGGACGCCAAGCCGATGCTCACTATCATAACCAGTATGTCCATATAGTTCCATATGAAGGTCGAGTAAACGTTTTGTAGCTTGCCCCACAGGGCAAGCGGCGCGGAGTAGTTCAGAACATAGAAGATCTCATCGTTGGTCAGCTCGAAGAAGTTCTGTATGGGATCATCCGTGCGATTGCAAAACGCAGCATAATTAATGGCCGAGACAATGCTCAGCAAGTGTTCCGCTGAAGAAGTAATCTATATAAGCTATTCACTTTCAATTGGATTCAAGTTATAATCCTACCAAAGGACAACATCATTCCCACGAGCATGACCATTCTGATGGTCTGAGCCATGCGCCTCTTCTCGAACTGCGTCTGATACTGTGGTAGATCCTGTTCGATCTGGTACCACTTCATCATCAGGTCGGGCCACTGCCGCGCCAAGCTAAGAGCCTTGCCGCACACCAAGAAGATGCAGCTCTTGAAGATTAAGGGTCGGATCGAGTTGAATGTTATCGAGCCATGCAGCACTTTGTAAATGGTAAAGCTAAGGTTGATCAGCATGGACACCATGAACAACAGGCAGCAGCAGGTGCGCACATAGCGCCACGAGAACCTCAAGCTGCTCGGATGCTTGGCCGTGACTCCTCGCACCGGCATCAAGGCAAAGCACTGGGCGGTCAGCAGGACCGAGCCAACTGCCTCATGGAAACTGCCGTTGTACATAAATTGTTCACGTGATTTGTAGCTCAGCTCTGAATATTAAACAAAATATCGTAATAATGTAGATGTATATATAAATATACTATATTAAACAGTGAAATCTGCCCTGGTCGAACAGTTTCGGCTCAATGCAGGCTGTATCGATATTTGATGTCTGTATATATGTACTATAGTATACCATTTTTGATATCCTTGCCGTTTTCCCTTTGCACCCGCTTGGCACTGTCCTCTGGACGATGTCCTTTATGCGCACTAAATAATATTTACAGCTTAGTCCATGTTTATCTGTACCGCCTGAGAGTACCTTTTGAAGAGTGCATCTAGCTTACGCAATAATGGTGGCTTCTTTAGCTTTTTCCAGCGTCGAAACTTACGCTCCAGCTTGGGCAGGAACCTCATGTTGGGGCCGCAGCCAAAGGACAAATGGGCTCGGCACTGGCAAGTCAATTTATTCGGCGCGTGGCCTATCATTAAAAACACCTGTTGTTTTGCACTAATCTATAATTGATAGTTTAACGTGGCATATACAAATAAAGTACAAATCGGGTGTAGCTCGCCCGAGCTCAGTGCTCATAGCAGTCATTAACTTTGTCCTCCTTGTTGAATTGCAGCAATATCAGCTCGTAGGTCACAATCGTGCCAGCCACCTACGTGACATTGAATTTGTAAACAGATTTGACAGCATTACAGATGGATGCAAGCTCATACCGCTATGACAACGCCTCGGGTCAGTCGAAACAGCTTCAGGCCCGTTAGGGCCACCTGGTCCATGTGAACCTCCTCCGAGAAGCGCTTAAGCTGTAAACTCAAAATTAGGAGATATCTCTGGCAGTGGAACAGTATAGTACAGTATAGTATATACCTCAGTGCACCAGTAGGGCCTCGGCACCAGTTGAAAGATGGCCAAAGGTCGCTTGGACTCATCATTGACACTGGCGCTATAAAGCGAGAGTATCAGAGTGCGACTCAGCAAGTAGCTCAGCGAGAACCAGAAATATGCTGTGTGCGATGCAGAAGGTTTCTTCCTACAGCGAATACATGAAAACTGATTATGGGCTGTTGATTGGCTCGTCTTGGGGCTAACCTACTGCAGGCTCTTTAAAATTTTACCGCATATAAAGTACAGATTGTTGCTAAAGCAGAGCAGCGTTATGGCTGATATGGCATCATCCACGACGGTGCACAGCTTGCAGAGATTGCGAAAGCTGATCCGGTTTTGTATCCAGAACTCAACACTAGTCGGCTGAAAAGAAAATGCCCAATTGGGATTGGAAGTATCTATCTGCTTAGTTATATATTCAACATTCCTTTGGTTGCCTACCAATCGAGCTTCACGGAGCATATGATCGTTTAGCTGCCGGAATCGTGCCGCTAGAGAAACGCTGACGGCCATCACGAAAATATCGTTGAAGCTCCAGGCAAAAGTGGCCAGCACATTGATCACTTTCCCAATTAACCCCAGAAGCGGAGTGTAGTCGACGAAGTGGAAAAACATGGAGAAGTTGATGAGCAAGTAGCTGTTGATGGGCTGACTGGGCATGACGGGACACGCGTTCACATAGTACAAGCTGGACAGCATGCTCAGCAGGTGCTCCACTGCAACAAGGAGGGCGGATCGTGTCAGGATCTAGTGTGGAGGATCTAGCTGACTGTATGGCAACTACGTACCCAATGAGCAGCCTATGGCTATCATTATAATCATTCGGATGTGCGAGGCCAATGCGGCACGTTCGCGCTCTGTACGCAGCATTGGCAGCTGGGACTCGACCATTTGCCACTCCAAAACCACCGAAGGCCATTTCATGGCCAGCTGGAAGAAGGCCACCGAGATGGCAAAAATGGAGGCGTAGAAGATGAGTGTTTCCACCGAATCAAAGTCGAAGTTGACGAGTATCACAAACATCGCATTAAACCCAGACGAAAGGCCAAACAATACAATCACAATTAGTGAATAATAGGACCGAAAGCTCTGCCAGCTAAAGCTCAAGTCCTCGGCGTACTTTGACGAAATGCCTCTCACAGGCATCAGCGCGAAGATTTGAGCGATGATCAACACTAGAAAGCAGAGAGGGAAAAGGTTGTTGATATTGGATTACAGATTAACGATTATTAGAGATGATAAATATAAATAAATATATATTTGTATAGCATAAGACGAACCTAAATAGATAACACTGTCTTAAATATAAAGACTATTACCTACATGTGTGAAAATCGTAGTTTCAATTACTCAAATATCATCAATACTGTAGCTATAACTCAACTGAGAGATTAGCAAGACTACGTCCCTTAAATATAAATTTCAGAATTTTTTTTTAACAATTTAAAAACACAATATTTTCTATTATAGATCAAATTAAAATTTCGTAATATCAATAATTCTGGGTTTAAGTTCAGTTCAGTCTATTTAAGTTCAAGAATTCTATTATCTTATCTTTTCTTTTGTTTTCCATTTAATATTATACAAAACTCTATTCAATCATTCTGAAAGGAACGAAAAACGGTAATTCTTTATTGTGTGTAATGCTTTATTATCTGATAACAGTCCCTTTTTTCAGCCCTTTTTAAGTCGGGCACTTCCCAATTAGAATCCAGAACTCTCGTACTTCTTTGCCTATATATTTATAAGACCTATATTTACCCACCTATGTATATATTTATGACATTATATCTGTTTACAAATATGATTATCTTGCTCAGATTTTCACAGCCTTTTATAGTTACCTGGTTTGATGGCCTCCAGAAATGAGCCATTGTGCACATAGCGTTCTCTATCAGCGCGTTGAAGGATTCGCTTGACCTTGTGTGGACCGAATTTTTCGGCATTTTGTCTACGTTTTGTTCGAAAATTCAGTTTTGTATTAAAAACTGCATTCGATTGTGCGCTATTTGAATTGGAGCTACAGTCAATTCTCGAGTCAGATGACTTTATTAGGCTTCCCACTTACTCGCAGTCAACGCGTGCCCCACGCCAGAAATTGATCAGGCTCAAGCTTTTGCGCCGCCTCGTCGCATCACCCACAGTCCTGGCCATGTTCTGTGCCCGAGTAGTCAAAGTCAACAACTGAAAGGTGGGTTTCTCTTTACTGCCAGCCCGGCCAAATGAATATCTGTTTGCCTATCTGTTTACAATCTGTGTGCAAATGGTAAACTGCGAATTGCAAATGGCAAATTGCAAATTGCTGTCGGTGACAGGCTTATAATTTATGTACAGCGATTTGGTGCACGACTATGAATAGAATATGCTCTTGGAGCCGCCAGCGCCTCGGCTGCAAATGCTCGTCTGCACCTCGGAGCCATTCATTTGATTGATTAGCACCAGCTCGTAGACCATCAGCGTGGCGGCCATCTGCAAGAGGGAGAGGTTAAATAAGGGCCAAAAGGCGGGGCAAAGCTCACCGAGAAAATGAGGCGTCTGGTTAAAAAGAAATACCCTTTTCCACTTAGGGCAAATCGGTTTGTCAATATGATCTCCTGTATCCGCCACAGCTCCAGGCACCAGTACTCCGTTGGTATTTCAAAAAGGGTGTACGATATCTGCCGAGCCTCTTGGGGAATCGAAGAGGCAGCAAACATCATGTTGGACACGCGAGCTATCACGTAAATTAGGCAGAACCAGAAGTACAGCTCATCCATGAAGCTGCCCCTCGCCCTGCACAAGGTCACGAAAATGGCTTATGAAATATTTGAAGACGAAGTACATGTTGTGGGAACAGGCGAGAACCACCATGCCAGAGAGTTCCTTGTCGTACAGCCTCAGCAAATCGCAAAGTTCCAGCAGATCGTAGCGCAGCTGCTCCCAGAACTCGCTGGGCATCGGCTGGGTGGAGTGGCGCCGTATGCGCCAGTGCATCTGCTGGAAGCGGAACTGCAGGCCGCGAGAGATCAGGGTCAGGAATATGTCCACGAAGTTCCACACGAAGGTCATGGCCAGAGTGGTCCACTCAATGAAGAGCGCCTGCGGCACATTGAAGTGAAATACCGAGAAGAGCTCCTGTCGCTCCCGCTGAAAGTAGTTCAGCCAGAAGTCCACGTCCAGCTTGCACTCGTGTATCTGCTGATAGTTGCCATACAGGGCGCTGCCCACGTACGTGAAGTGCTCGCAGAGGGCGGCCAGCAGCATGCCCACGCCCCAAAGGCGCAAGCGGCGTCCGAATTGCCGACCCAAATGGCAATCGTAGTCGGGCTGCAAGAAGACCAACTCGCACTGCGCAGTCCGCCGGATGAGGTACGGCCATCGATGCGACAGAGACAGGAAAATGGACAAACAGGCAATGCAAATCACGCTAAAGCTTAGAGAACCTAATGCGATTCGAAATGGTAAGATAGAGGCTATAGAGGATATAGGATTAATGTTAATCCTACCTATAGTGTAGATCTTCAGCCCCTGATCAATCACCACTTTAGAGGAGAGTCCGAGATCCATGATGGCAAAGGCCAATATGACGACACTGAGCACCAGAGACGCCGAAAACCAGCGAAAGCGTACATTCTCAGCGGGCGAGCTGGGCCAGACACCGGATACGGGAAACACGCCAAGAAACTGCGACAGAACCAGAACTAGGGAAGGCAATTGGTGAATATATTGAGTAATATTACGATTTATTATTATAATAATGTATAGACTATTATTAGGTATGTATGTTTTAAGAATCTTTTATTAGTAGAGCTAGGTAGTGCAATTGGAGAATATATAGAGTAATATTGCGAAATATAATTTTGGGAATATATAGATTATTATTATTATTATGTCTAAAAATGCTTTATATTTACTCTTTTTTTTTCTTTTTAACTTAAATTGAATGACTTGAAATAATATATAAAGTACTATTATTTTATTTGGTTAAATAAAAAAAAAAATATCGTTCTCAAAATGTATGAAATATCTTTTTAAATATTATATTATTATTATATAAACTCCTATGAATTTAGTTTTTAAACACTGTGTCCTTATTTGGTTTTCAATTGTAACCACTTATTACTTGGCTTTTATTTAACAAAATTCAAAGCCCATTTCTGAATATCGTTACCTTACACCGTTCATGTAATATTGAAAATAATTAGATGCAAATATATTATTTGGAAATTATAAATTAAAGTGTTTTCGTTAAGAATACCTTTCTGGAGAGAGTACAATTAAGATTATATTTTAATTTAGATTTAGTATGCTCTAAATGAGATGTTCTCGTATTCCCTTTGACAATAATTTGATGATAGAAGAAAAAAACTAGGCAGATAAATTATTTGATATATTTGAATACACAAACAGTTCATATAATTTTCAGAGAGGACAGTGAGTGTTTCATTGATTTCTGAATTATCGTGAAATTCGTACTTTAGTTCTAGTGAATGAAGTTATTATATTGTAACTTGGTAGTACGTAGTAATTTGGTAGTATATATTATAAGAATGTGTCATGCCCATAGTTGATTAAACTAACCTTCAATTAAACACTTAGTATAAGCAGTATTTTATTTGAGTTCTAGTTCCATAGAGTGCTACTTACAGGGCCCAATGGCGTGCTGGAGAGTGTTTTTATTGCAGCTCTGTCGACGTTGCTCCATTTCTTGACTGTTTGCTGGACTGGCAAGTGGACATGCGAAAAGAGATTCGTTCAGCTCTGTGGCGATTGCAATCATCAAGCGAATGTGTGCAACGGGGCGTATGACGGATGTTTATTAATGTATTTGCTGTTAAGATCTGAATGGACAGGCATGACATTTCAAACTGCTTCTGAGTGTTTGCTAGCTTATCAATAATAGAAATCTCGTGGTACATTCTCTCAGTGGGGAAACCAAATAGGGAAAAGGACTGACAGCGAATTTGATTAAATTTCAGCAGTAGACGGTTTTTTGCCTTATTGTTGCCTGGTTAATGACATCCGATATCATGAGCTCATAAGTGATAATCGTTGTGGTCATCTGCGAAGCAAAGAGTCTGTAAGTCTACAGAAATTGGAATGAGCTACTCCTTCACTTACAGACAGAATGAGTTGCCGGGTCACATAGAAGAATCCATTGCCCGATAAGGCGGTCATATCGTTGCCTAGCTGTTCGCTGAAGCGCTGAACCTGTTCGCCGCCAAAAAACTATCAATGAAGAGGATTCGGGAAATGGTATTAAGATTACCTCTGGGGTCCACGCCTTTGAGGGCACATCGCGAAGGGCGGTAATGATTTTCTGCTCGAAATCGTTTATTGAGGAGGTGATAAATATGGTCAGAGTCGTGCGGATAATAGCAAAGATTAGCGAATACCAGAAGGCTACCATGACAATGAGATCCACACCGATATTTCTGTTTGCAAAGAAATAATAAGACTATCTTCAAAGATTCCTCATTAACTCACTTGAAAGTATTGAACAACTGAAAGCATATGAATGACATGTTATTGCCAAAGGCCAAGAGTATGAGAGGAGCTACAGCCGAGTCCAGCAGGCGCACTAGACGCTTCAGGGCCAAGTAATGCTGCCGCACCTCTGTCCAGAATATGGCAGGCATCACCTTGCGGTGCACGGCAGCAATGCGGCGGTGCAGCTGGTGGAAGCGCGCAGCCAGCCCGATGCCAATGCACATGAGGAAACAGTCGGTGAAGGAGCGCGGATAGGCAATGGTCTCATTGACCCACTGCAAGTAAACCATAAGTGAGTCCGCGCCACGCACTGCCACTCGAGAGATTCACCTCAAGCAGCGGCAGCAGCCAGACGTGGTAGGGGAGTACTCTGTAGAGATGCGGTCGTTCCCACTTGTAGATGCTCTCCAGGTAGCTGACATTAATGTTGCATTGCGTGCGCTCCAGATTGCTCAGGTGGAAGGAGTTGGCCAGCAGCAGGCAGTGCTCCACTGTAACAACAAATTGCTATACCTATGCGCATCTACTCCATCGCTAGCTCACCCAGTGCAGATGACATAACGAGACCCACAACAATATTGATGCGTCGCTTCATGTTGTACTCGCCGTAGAAGCGATAGGGCACGCTGAGGAAGAGCTGCTCCACGCGGTGCCAGTGGCGCATGATGCTGTGCCAGTTGAACGCCAACCTCCAGAAGAACAGGTGCTCCAGCAGGCACACGATGTAGAGCGCCAGCGAGCTGGACGTGTGGAAGTTGACGCCGACGCTGCTGACATAATTCAAGACGGCACCGAATTCGCACAGGTTGAGTAGGAAAATGGTGGCCGAGTAAATTACGCGTGGACTCCGCCAGTTGAATCGAATCTTGTTTACATCGACGGAGCGTATATTACTCACGGGCAGCAGAGCATAAGCCTGTGATATGAAGAGCACTGCGAAATGGGAAAATTAAACCACGCCTATCTCTGGCCAAGTCGCTGCCGCAGCAGGAGCAGGCGCCTACCTTGAGAGACAGCGCGATAGAACGTTTCACCCTGCGGCATGGCCGTTTACTGACTGTACACACTTTCCGCGAAAGCTTTAGGTGCAGGCAATGAGTGGAGGCGTATCTGGGTTTCCTTGTCTTTTTTTGAATTCAACAATTTAGCAGCTAGTATTTACAGTAATTGAAAGATAAATGTGGCCGACTGTCAGCCGGCATGACAAATCGTAATTGCTGTTGCCACTTCCATTCAAGCGCACAGGGGCAGCAAGCCCTTGCGGCGGTTGGGCTCGTCGAATTGCAGCAACACCAGCTCGTAGGTAACTATAGTGCCAGCCATCTGAATGGAAGGGCAGTTATTTAGAAATGGAAAATAAGCTAGTTCGCACTATACGCACCCCAAAGAGCAGCCTGCGGGTTAGGAAATAGAATTTCTTTCCTGACAAGGCAACGGTTTGCGTGGACATCTGGAATATGAGCCGCTCGACCTCCACGCACCAATTCTTGCTGGAGACGCGACGCAGCACGCTCAGCGCACTCTTCGACTCGTCGTTGATGGTGGCTGCCGTGAGGAACACGCAGGCCGTGCGACCCACCAGGTAGAGCATAGAGTACCAGAAGTAGACATAGTTGATGGGCCAGCGTAACTTACTAGACATATGAGAAGGGAGTAGAGTTTTGCTTTAACTCAGATCATATTATTAAAGCCCGATCACTCACTTGAATATGTTGAGCAGCTGACAGCACACGAAGTACAAATTGTTGGCGCAGGATAACAAAATGATGCTGGACAGAGCATTGTCCACGCGCTCCAGGAGCTCACACATGCGCACGTAGTGCTCGCGGATCTCCATGAATGTCGTCTCTGGCACACGATCCTCATGCTCCAGTCGGCAAATGCGCTTCGAAATCTGCTCGAAGCGATAGGCCAGTCCCCTACTGATCATCATGATGAATAGATCCATGTAGTTCCATATGAAAGTGCAGGTGCCATTTACCACCTGCAGGAAGTCAGAGAATGTAAGAATCCGTGTGATTCGGTCTGATGGCTAAGAGACTTTATGATAATACATTCTAAACACTCTACTTGAAAAGCGAACATCATTTGATAAAGGATATGGTTCTTACGCATTGCCTGAAAAATGCCTATATTATATTGATTCAGTCTATGATTAAGATGTCATTTATATCCTCAATTGGAAGCTATTTCATAAAACTCGAGATCTAGGTCTTATTTTACATTTTTTAATGTAATGATAATGATTTTAATAAATTTAATGTAATGATAATGATTTTAATTTTAATGCAATGATGAGGATTGTCCTCAAATCTTACCAAAACATAGATGCCGAAAAATCTAGTGTAGGGCAGTAGTATAAACACATAGTCGTAGTTCAATTTGATGTAATCATCAAAGGATACACCCATGGTTGCATTGTGATTTTCAGTACAGTAGTAGACGCGCTGCTTATAGCTGACAATGGCAGAGGACAGATACAAGCCATGCTCCACTGAAATGGGGAAAACAACGCATTATGAAGGAAATTTAAAGGAGCTGGCTCTTTATCTAAATCTCACCCAGCGACAGGGCTATTAGAATAAATGCAGGTTGTCGCACGCGCTGTGACAGGCTCCTCTTGAGCACCTCGTAGGGGGGCTTGGTGAAGATTAGCTCCAGGCGCGTCCAGTAGCGAATCAGAGGCGGCCAGCGGCGCGCCAAGTCGATGAACAGAATGCAGGCGCACTGCACACAGGTGAAGAACACCTGACCCACTAAACAACAGCGAAATGACATGAGTCTCTAGGTTAGTCCTCCTCCTCCTCCTCCCCTTTGCGAATACCAACCGAAATTCTTTGCTGTAACGCCTATGTTGAGCAGAAACTTCAGCATGCTTAGCGTTAGCACCGAGCTGGCCATCATGAAAATCACCGTCACAATCATCGGCACCGATTTGAAGCGGAAATGCACGTGCCGCGGACTTGCCCGCCTGATGCCTGTCAGTGGCATTACGGCAAAGCACTGACCCAGCAGCATGACTGTAAAATAAGAAAAAGGAAAACACAGTGAGGAACGGTGCCGCTACCGACTGCATAGTACTCATTCACACAACTGAAGACAAGTGACTCTAGCTCAAAAACATTTCAGTATTAAGGATTTTCACGCCCTAAACTAACAGAGGAGGTCAATAAAAAGTTATTCTTTGAGTTTGTCAAGTTTTAGTATTAAGTATGAGATACAGTTTTGAGCTAAGATGGATCTAATAAATTGTGTTTTTCTTGGTTTCCAATTAATTATCATGTCTTTGTATAATAGAATTTCTGAGATACCGAAAAAAGCATTTTCCGACTTGCTAATTCTATTTGGACAAGTCCAAAAATCTAAGCATTTAAACAGATGAAGATACCCACGAGTATATATTTCTGTAAATTAAACAGTATTAGGTTTGATTAATTAGTTGAAGACCTTGGAAATGGCAAAAACAATCCTAAAAGTTAAAGATCTAAAAGTTAAAGATCTATACAGCCTAATCTTAGCAATTCATCTCAGATACGGCATGAATTTTCATGCTATGCAGAGTATTTTGTTTCAGCGGATAAATATTTTACCATTGCACACAATATGCCTTTATATATATATAGATATAACGTTACTTACTGGGAGATGCTGCTCGATGAAATAAATCCAATTGAGTATAGTCCGTGCTTGTCTCACTCTTTATGATACCAAAGTCGAAATTGCCCTCATCTAAATTTTTATTCTGGGTGCCTTTAGCCATGGTTTTCGGGCGTAATTTCCAAGTGGCCTGTCCGTCCATGTCGCTGGCCATTTGAGCACTGACCCGGAGCGCCTGCGTCTATGCGGGCCTCAACCGGGAAATGTATTTTTAGAATTGCTGGTCACTCTGGCCAAGGGAAATTGCAGTTTAAAAGCGCAGTTAACACGCGCTGCGTGGGAGTTGGCTGTTGTAAACAATAATTAGGAGCTAATGAGAAAAGCACCTGTGCATTTTTATGGCGGTTGATTAGGCACTTAGTCAACATGCGGCACTCTGTGCTCAAACATCCGTTCGAATGGGATCGAAACGTTTTGAGGCTGTTGAAGGCGAAGCGGAGACAGCAACGCGCCGCAATTGAGAAAAAGTGGCGCTGCGCTGGCAACGCTGCGGACTTGGAGCAGCTGGACACATTCCATCGGGCCATACGGCCATGTGGGCATATTTTGCGACTTGAAAGAACTTCAGGAACTCACTCGGTTCTTCTTACAGATCTGTGCCTGGCCCAGGTGTTTGGCATGATGCCACTGGCAAATGTGCTCAGTCGTAGTCCTCACCTGGTTCAATTTCAGCTACGCTCCTATGCCACCTGTTTGTCAGGGGTGTTTCTTCTGCTAGGAGGCGTGAAAACCATGCGCTTAGCAACAAAACTTATTCAAGGCGGCCTGAATGCCAAGAGCATGGGTAAGTCACGACACCTCTGAGGAGGGACGGAGGGAAGCTGTAGCTACGATATCTTTCTCATAACGCTGCACTTTAATTTTATAATATGTAATATATGTAAAAGACAGTTTAGGAGTCAATCTTACTTAATGAATTTCAATTCTTCTACAGTGAGCGTCGTCTTCTTTACGAGCGGAATGGTAATCTGCGTGAGCTTCATTTCTTTGGCGCGCGGCTGGTCTCGTCTGATTGTGCCCTGGACCGGCATAGACATTATAATGCTCTTTCCGCCATATGCAAAAATGAAACATAGTCTTCGACGGAAGCTGCTTCTCGCTGGATGTTCGCTGGGATGTTTGACACTGAGTAAGCCCCTAACCTAGAGTACTAAGGACTTCTTTAAGATTTTGATGTGTTTTTCATAGTTGAGCATTGGCTGTATTATGCATCGAGCTATTCTAATTTTCGAATACAAATTTTGAGATGTCAACCCAATGTAACTCAGATAACCTTTAAGGAGTACATGATGAAGGAATTCGCCGATATTTTCGAATTGGTGCCCTACAATTCCATCTTTATATTCTATGCCTTTGTATGTCGGACTCAAGTTGAATCACTCAAATGATACTAATGAGAAGTGTTTGTTCACAGTTTCTGAATGGCACCTTCACTTTCATCTGCAACTTCATGGATACGTTTATAATTTTGATAAGCCTTGGCTTATCCCAACGGTTTCAACAGATGGCCACGCGTGTTTTAGATGCCGTTGAACGGGTAAGACCTGACCCTTTTTATACATATTTGTTCACCAAAAATAGCATTATATTTACTTCAAGGTAGCCATGGTAGACCTTATACAAAAATATATTTATATTATTAATCAATGCGATCAACCATTCATCATTCATGTCCGTCCGTCCGCCCATATGAACGCAACGATTTCATAAACCAAAACCCTAGAGTCTTGACATTAAATAATAATCTTCTTATAGGAAATTCGATAAGTCTTAGAATCGATAAAAATCGATACTTTGATTTCAATTCTGAATGTTTGTTTGAATAGCATTAGAGCTGGAGACTATATTGTACAGGGTCCTTCCTTATTTTGTATATGTCTGATGTTGGCTTCCCTTTTTAGCCTCCTCACACAAATTCAAATACTAGAGACTTGTTGTCATAGTGAAACACATATTCAAGCCCCAGCATCAGGGTTCAGGGTCACTCCTACTTGGGCAGTCACGGGTAGAGTAATCTTATTATATCTTTCATTTCTCACAGTATGTGCCTGATGCCGAATGGAATGAAATCCGCATGCATCACATTCTCTTGTGTGAACTCATGGATTTGGTTGAGGCTAATATGTCGAATATCGTTTTGATCTCCTGCTTGAGCAACATCTACTTTATATGCAATAAGCTGCTGACCATATTTACGTAAGGGCTTACAGTTACTCTAAAAAGTATTTAGTTAATATTTATTTACTTGGCTTATAGTAAGCTCCATTACCCCATCAACTATGCCTACTACTGGTACAGTTTGCTCTATTTGCTGAGTCGCACCTGCGCCGTGTTCATCTGCGCCTCCAAAATTAACGAAGCTTCGTTGCTGCCTCTAAGGGCCCTTTCCATGGTGCCAAGTGACCACTGGACCGAGGAAGTGCAGCGCTTCAGCCATCAGCTGGGCAGTCAGTACATAGGACTCTCCGGCTTGGGTCTGTTTCATCTGACGCGCAGGAGCCTCTTTGGTGTGAGTGTTGGCCTTGCTTTCCTTTACAAATATACGTAGAACAAAGTAAGATCTATTGTAGATGATGACGACATTGGTCTACTATGAGTTTATGCTATTGCAATTGGATGCCAAGAACAACAAGGATGATCTAGCCAGTCTGTGTGGGTGAATGCGCGCTGATTAGATATGAGAACAACGTTACACTAGACGGAAAATTTACTACAAACAGAAAAGAATGCTAATTGTTTAAGAGCTCTTCATTAAAGGTTAACAATAAATTATTTCATTTGAATCTGTTTAAACTATTTCCGTTAATGTTTATCCATGTAATAATTTTACTATCGAATGTCTTGTTCTCTAGGAAATTGTCTCAATGGCCGATTCACAAATATGTGCAGAGACAGGCTAATATCAAAACAATTTTTAGCAGTGATATGTTCTAAGTTTTATGTTATTAGTTCCAAGTACTTCAACTTATTTTGAGTCAAGTTTGATTTTAATTATCTATAATTATAACTATTGTTATTTTTTCTTTTCAAATTGTTGACTTAGCTTTACTTCACCAAAGTTAAGTAGTTTTCATTTCTTTTAATAATTTAATAATAATAATGTACCAATTTGATATTCTGCTATTATAACTATGTGTTAAAATGAGTTAAAGAGAATATTCAGAGCACTTACTAAGAGAGATTAAAAATTATATATTGTCTCATTAAGAGATTCAGGCAGTATAAATACAGCTGTCTATTCAAGTTCTGTCTCATTTGAAGCTGCATGGCGAGCATGGTAAAGGTCGAAGTCTTGAAGTATATGGGACAAGTGTTAAAATGTGTTTCTACAAGTATAGCCACATATAAGACTATTCGGTGTTATATCATTGTGAATGAATCATGAGTGAGTACATGTGTATACAAAGCGGGCGCGTGAGTAGGTATGTACAAAAATATATATATCACATAAATTAAGTCATTTATTTAAGGCACAGCCACATCACTCCGCAGCTAAGTTAACAATTGAAGTTATAATTATAATTCTTGAACTATTGACCAGATGCATGTGAAGCTTGTGGAGGTCTGGCAATAAAGGCACCAACTGTATTTACATGAATAATATGAAAACAATATGTTAGGCTAATTGCAAATTTTGCTCTTTGTTCACTTGGTCACGCCCATAAGGGGCGTTAAATATCATTTCAAGGTGATTCGCAGATAATTGACAGAACCGACGGAGTTAAGCAGTTCTAACTGTCATATAATGGATTTCTATACTCATTCACGAAAGCGAAATGAGTATATTGGTTTTGTGCAATGTCCGTCATGCTGTCCGTCCGTCTGTCCGTATGAACGTAGTTTATTTATTATTTGTGTATATCTCCGATTTGTAAAGTGTTAAAATCCCCACTAGGGGCGTAGCAAATTGAGAAATGTATTTCCCATTATGCCAGAAGCCATACCAATTCAAGAGCTAGAAAGCTGAAATTTGGAATGTAGATTCGTATTGAACACCAAAGTCAACAAGCTATGGGGAATATTTCTACGCCCATTGGGGGCGTGGCAAATCGGATAAAACTGTATCTCCTGAAAACTGAATGTTAAATGAGCTTATGTTATGATTCTATAAAGATTGACGCCCCCACTAGGGGCGTGGCAAATCGGACCTGAAGATATAGTGATTTTTGATGCTGAAATTTGGTATATATACTCTGACCAGCGAAGACCAAAGAGCTATGGCAGATATATGTCCGCCCATAGGGGCGTGGCAAGCCGCAAAAGTGTATAAGAGGTAGATGGGTAAGAAGTTTGGATAGCAGAGTTACAAGTTACCTCTTCTATCGATGAACCAAAAATAATTGTTACGCCTTTTTGGGGGCGTGGCATATCGAAAAATACACTCTAATTTTCACATTTTTTCAGAGTAAGCATTCAAATTTTTCAGCTAGCCTACCGTTAGCTCGTTCTAAGGACTGCCATAAAATGAGGCGTCTACGCCTATTAGGGGCGGGAAAAAATTCATTTTCTACATTATTAGAGCTAAACTTAGCTACTAAACTGCTGATGGGGTGTGAATAAGTATTTTGCAGTTGGTAACGCCCGACTGCAAAGTTCTTATTTGTTAAAGTTTCCTAATGTATTCATCTGGATTCGCCATAGGAGGAATCGGTCTATAGATATAAATATATATGGGTATTATTTGAGCCCAATTTCTAGTGTTAATGTTAGAAATAATGTATTGATTGATATTATATACATTA